AGCTACTTGACATTTCTCGAAGGAATGCCTTCCCATCTGTCCCAACCAGGGGCAGCAAAGGTCATTTGTAGGATGTTGAAGATAGAAGCAGATGCCTGTTATTACCATCTGCTAATAACTTTTCCAACCGGGATCTTGCATTATATCTATGTTTGAAATAAAAGACTGAAAGGTGCAGATATTCAACCAAGTCATTGTACCCATCAAACAATGGTGTATATTTCTCCCCCTACTGACACGCAATCTTAAAGCCGGAGGAGGACATGCTTGCAGAACTGTCCGTGTCCCTGAGCTCTCCTCTCCTTTGAAGCATTCCACCTTGATTTTCCATGGAGAGGTTTTTTTTCAGGGGGGTTTGCTGCTGATCAAAGGTCCATAGCTTTGATCTTCTGGCCTCAGTGCTGCCAAGAGATCACTCTGGTCTCTCTGGCGAGCGAACTGACAGGACAGTAGAGCAACAATGATAATTACAGGCTCCTCATTTTGTTTCTGTGCTTTCGGAGCAAAGGACTGGCATAAACAGATGGCCTTACCTTAAAGCCAAGAAAAAAAAGAGAGAGGACTGAATTCCTGGACTGTTGTGGGGGCGAGGACAGAGGTAAAGAGCCTTTGACTATCAAACAGAGGACAGGCAGAAAATAGGATAAATATAGGTAACTGCATGTTGTACTGTAGGCTGTTAAGCTCTTTTTAATATTACAGCTTTTATTCACCACAACATTAAATGGTTATCTGTTATTTTAGGGCTTTGCCTCTACACTGGAAAGTAAACCTCAACCTGTTGGTATTTCAGGGAGTTTCCCCACATCCGATAAAAGTTCTTTTTGACCATCAGCTGAGAGCCAGAGGTATTCTTTCTTTCTTTCTTTCTTTCTTTCTTTCTTTCTATATCTATCTATCTATCTATCTATATATATTATATATATATATATATATATATATATATATATATATATATATATATATATGTCAATATATTAAAAAAAAATATGAACAGTGTTTCCAAAAATCTCTCTGTCCACAGAAGGCAGCAAAAACAATTCAAAAACTCATGAGCATGCTCAGTACCTGAAGAACATCACTAGCTTATGTAGATATATAGCACACTGTCAGAAATAAAGATTCTGTGCAGGTACATTTTTTTGTTCATCAAGGTAAACAATGTAAAGGTGCCCTCAAAGGTACAACAGTGATTTTAAGGTCCAATTTTGTACCTTAAATTAGTTTTCCCAGGTGAAAAGTACATATTTGTACCTTTTCATAACCGAATGTTTTAAAGCAGAACAATAAATAAAAAGCCTGGAGACGAGACGGGGTGTGGAGTCAATACAGCTTAGAAAATATAATTTCAATGGATTATGGCACAATTATGTTCCCTGACTGAAGGTACTGAGATGTACCCTTGAGGGTACCACCCCAGTGACAAGAGGGGTACTGCCCTAGTGACAGTTTAGTACCTTTATTTCCAAGAGTACATGAGGCGGAGCTGAAGCAGAAATTGCAAAAGCGACGTTGCTGTATTATAAACATAAAAGGCTTTGACTTCCATTGAATTACTTCTGTAGTTACATAATTAATTCCATAATTGTTTCCGTAATTCAATAGTTTATATAAATTCAGAACTCAAATCCTGGCAGAAAATAAAAGCTCATAAAGCGAAGAAAAGCCTACCGCTTGTTTCCATGGTGTTGTTTAGGTTGTCATGGCTATGTCACTGTCTCTGAAACATTTTTTTCAAATCTGACTTTGGTTCATGATAATCAAGTCTGCTAAAATCAATCATAAACAGTTTATCAACCCCCAAATTGCTAAACCCAAAGAAACAATCGGTCATTGGCCGTATTGTAAACAACAACAATCACGCATAAATAAACAGCATTATCAAAAAGCTTGACTTGAAACTTCAATGACTTGAAACTGTCCATATATGTACAAATGGGGCCTAAATTACATGAAGTTTTAAAATATTTTTTTCCTTCTCCTGTAAAGTTGGTCTTCCAAACCCTAATCAGATGTCTTTGTTTGCCTGACATTGTACAGCTATCTGCAATAGCCTACCCCTCCAAATAATAGGGCCCACATCCGTGCAGGGTCATTTCACATGATGGTACAATAGGTGGGCTGGTTCTTCTCCTCCTCATGCCGCCTTTTGAGTCCTCCTGCTTCACTCGTAGCTCTGAAAAGGCCTGTGCCCGCCCATGCAGCAAGGCTCAGACACTGAAAAGAGCTCCTGCAGTGCCCTTTCAGCTCAGAAGTGCAGGTTCTTTATAATGTATGGGAGGTCTATTATATCAGACACCTTACACCTGGTCATATTCATAGCATACAGCTACCATTGTTACCACTCCATTGAGTATTGTGTCAGTAGATGTAAGAGGTTAGTAATAGGGGAGGTATCACTTTTATGTCAGTATCTATACAGGATTTGAATTATAATTACTATAAATAGCAGTCTGTGGGCATGCCCTTCGGTAAAACTCAATAACCTCTATTTTTAGGAGGGGAATTCTGGTTTCCAATGGAGGACTGTGCAGAGAGGTGGGGCTGATGGTAGATCTACTCTTTTACTTGAAAGAGCTTAGTACATATGGATCCAATATAAATCATTAATTAAAAGGTTTAATACTAATTTATAGCTATAATACCAAAACAGATTTCCAAAATATTTGATTTTAGACCAACATTACAGAACACATCAGTTATTTGCTAATAATCCGCAGTGAAAGTGTTTGATACACAGGAACCTGTGTTGATGATATTAATGAACATAATTTAGTGAAAAATATATCCCTAATGCTATATCGTTGAAAGCCAAACTTTTCTTGTGTTTGATGTTTTAAAATAAAAGAATTTGATGTGGTTTGTGAATACAGTTAACGTTTTAAAGTGTAATACTCACTGTCCAGTCCATACAGTCCACATACAGAAATTAAGATGCAAATCAGCCCATTTTGAATTCATTGTTTTTGCGATGTCAACAAAACCAAGTATTTATATATTCACCTGTTCAGCCTTTAGAGTTTAGCTTCGTTCATTCATGCTGAAGTCTGATTTTTAAATGAGGCCCAATACAGAGCAGCCAATCAGAACAAAGGCTTTTTACATATATATATATATATATATATATATATATATATATATATATATATATATATATGTAATATGTAATGTATATATATGTATGCAAAAGTTTGAAGACCCCAGTCAAATTACGTTTTGTGCATTTTTCTGCTAATTTTAGTCATTTTTTTCTAAGTTCAGTATGTTGAAAAATATAAAACGTGCCATAACTTTTGCACCAGTCACTATTTATTTATTTATTTATTTATTTATTTATCTATCTATTTAATTAATTAATTTGTTTAAAGTAAAGTGGCTCACCACAGCCAATCAGATCAACTCTCATTCCCTTTAATAGAATATTCCCTAATGGCGGATGATTACAGACTTCCTACAATTCCAATGTATTTGTATTTTGTAGATAGAGAGAAATATAGAGTCTAGTATTTTAAAACTTTGTAGATTCGTTACATTTATAAAAAGGCAAAAATTGTATTTTTTTTTTATAAAACAATCGCAACAACATCAACAATACTACCACAATACTACTACTACTAATAATAATAGTAATAATAATAATAATAATTATTATTATTATTATTATTATTATTATTATTATTATAACATATATTTATTTATATATATATATATATATATATATATATATATATAAAACAACAAATAATTAAACAAATATATAAAGTAATTTAGTACAGAATAGCTTTTTACTTTGATTTCTTTAAATGTTGAAATCTTGTGAGTAAACTTACAGCCTTTTACTGAAAGAAGAGTCAATATTGTTCCGCAAAGCAATGATGGCTTCAAACAGGTGAAAAACATTGCCAAGCTAGTTTGAGTTTAATGTGAGACCAAATATTAAATAAAAGGGTTTAAATCTATCTGGAGTCAGACCTGCCCAAAAACAAGTAAAAACCATTATTTTTCTTTTGAGGACATAATTTGAAAATGCCTGTTGCTCTTTACATTGTGCGTAAATTTCATGATGAAATTTAGAAATGTCTGGTTCCATTGACTTACATTAAAAGTAAAGTATGTTTTGTACTTCTCCTGTAAAGTTACCATTTTGGAGTACCATTTTTAAGTAGGGTGATATAAAATAGAATTCATCCACTAAATTTGTGGTAAAATTGTAATTGGACACATCTTTATATCTAAACTCGTTAGGAAATTAATGTTTTTAACTTTTTAACTTGCATTTGGTTCATTCTAAGAAGGTGGTAGAACTTCAGCAAGTGCATTTATGGGTAAAAATGGGTTCAAAAACAGGCCTGCACTGGCACATTTTGACTGTCACACTCATAGACTGTATATATGTATATCTTATATACACTCAATGGTCACAACCCCTGCTGCGGCACTAAACCCGCTTCATCACAACCAAAATAGCAAATGGGAAGAAATGTGTGTGTCTGAGCAAATTAGTAACAAGCCTGCTTGTACAGTTAGATCAGGGCTGCACAACTTCAGTCCAGGTGTCCAGCACAGTTTGATAGTTGTCCTACTCAAACACACCCACTAAACCTGGCAATTAAGAGATCAGTTGAATCAGGTGTGTTTGAGCAGGTAAATCACCGAACTGTACTGGACACCAGCCCTCCAGGACCAGAGTTGTGCAACCCTGAGTTAGACCAAGGTTGCTCACTTGTGGTCCTAGAGATCCACCACCTTGCAGCTTAGCTTCAACCCTAATCTGATCCAGATCCTTCTGGAGAATCTGACTATTAGAGCCAGGTGTTGGATCTGAACTCCGCAGGGTGGTAGATCTCCAGGTCCAGGACTAGGAAACCCTACATTAGACTGTGCCTACACTGGCACAGAAATAGGATCCAATGTTGCATGTTGATAATTCACATCCAGGACAAATAAGACAACAAGACCAACCACAAAGAGAAGGACTCAAAAGGTTGAAATATATTAAATGTTCTATTTGCAAAAGGTTGAGGGAAAAGACTGTTAGTGTGACTTAATAGGAACACGTAATACGAAACATCATTTAGAGAATTAGTCCAGTATACAAGCTGTCAGGTTCAGTCCTCCGTTATAATGGATGAGCCATGTGTGTTCGGGTCACACAGGAACACATGTTCAGTTGGAGTGTTTCTTGTTAAGGCTGACCTGACCACCCTCACTCTGCTGAAGTGGATGTAGGATACATGTGTATGTGTTTTACAGCCTGTTCTGATATCACTCTGGTCAGATAGCATCGAAGATGTTAGAAGCACTTCCATGCTCACACAGCAAGAGAGAAAATACATTGGAATAAAGAAACAAACAGAAAAAATTAAAGAAAATACAAACACAATGGATACAAAACAGATTTTGATTATGTCATATGAAATTGTTTTCATGGTGTCAGAAAAGATTGTAATTCATAAGAATGTGTAATGCAGTTAGTCCTGTCCCACAGTTCAGGCTGGTCTCCACGGTTTAGTTTATTTTCAGAAAGGCTAACTATCTACTGCAGTCATGTAATGTGTAAATCACAACAGCTAGTTAAAAGAGATGCTTAGTTTCTTCAGCAGTAACATAAATACGGTATATAATTGCTTATGCACAATATTAGAAGCCTTACAGAAGCTTTATCAGGCTCGAAGCTAAGAACCTGTGAGGAATAAGTTAACATACTATATGACAATTCCAAAAGAACCAAAATGATGTAGAAAAAAAAAATCCCCAGAAAATGTACACATACAGCAGTCATGGGAAGGGGTAATAGGATAAGGCTAACTCTGGACTGCAGTTATGTGGGGAGCATGGGGAGGAAGTGAGTGGACGGGTGTCTCCTGCGGGCTTTATGGCCCCTCCTCGGCTTCCCCCTGCCGTTCAGTGACACAAACATCTGCCTCCCACCGTGCTTCCAGCGCAGGGATGCATACGTGTTGTAGCCATTCTCCTCAATGCGCTCTTTGAACTTGCAGCTTGGGTTATATCTGGCCTGTAGGAAGAGGAGTCAGAGATGTTCAGATTACAAAGAAGTAGAGGATTTAAAGGGGAATTTAACCGCCTTAAAATATCTCCACAAATAAATAGTCAAGATATAAACACAACTAAATTGTCCACAAATAAATTGTCAAGATGAAATTGCCAAGATATTTACAGTGGTTTGATGTGAACTGCTCTGTTCTAGAGGAACTTACCAAGTCAGAATTTTTAATAGTGAGTGTGTTTACATGCACTCAATAATCCGATCATAATCAGATTCCTGCAGTTATCTGATTATTCAAATGGTCATGTAAACAGCACACTCCGATTTCTTAGATCGGGGTAAGCTTCTAGAAATCCGATTTAGAAATCTGATACAGAGAGCTGGATTTTAGCTCAGTAATCAGATTTCTCAGTGCATGTAAACTCTTACTCTGATTTCTTTCATATTTCTCAGTCTGCGCAGGTGCAAAAACAGACAGCGGTACTGGAAATAAGCAAGCAGCGTCACTGCGAGACGCAGCAAAACACTTTTGGAGCGACGCTGAAACAACTACATTCTCGACAAAATGAAGGATTTAAATATTCTTCATCTTCTAGATGATGTATGTTCATATTTTCAGGTAAAGTGGCATGATGTTTTTTAAAAAAAGCCGTGGCATGAAATTTAAGTTTTATGTACATTTACGTCACATCTTCTTCTGTGAGTTGACTGTCCAGTTGCAAAGCAGAAATCAGATTTCTGCCTGACTCATGTAGACCCGAAGTTTCCCATTATCTGATTACCCAAGTGCATGTAAACGCGTTGATCGGATTACTGACAAAATCTGTTTTTTTGCAGTTATCGGATTATTAAGTGCATGTAAACACACTCAGTGTTGGTGATAGGAACCTGAGTTTCAACAAAAACAAAGAAATAAACAAACAAAAGAAGTTGTGAATATGTTGCCTGATGTCTGAGACTGAGAGATTGAGTCTGATTGAGACTGAGACATTGTCTTACGATAGTTTTAAGATGTATGTGTATATATAGATTCACTGGTTATTTTGGATAAATAAAAAGGCTATATTTGCAATGTAGACATCACAACCCCTGGTTCCTATCACCACCACTGTAAGGAAATCAATACCTACATATGTTTCTCCACAATGCCACATTTCACATCAAACCACTCTGAATGACTTTTTTACACTTCATTAATTGAATTGTGCACAAATGTTTAAAAAAAATGGTGGAACTTCAACTTTCTATCCATGCAAGATTTGTGTTCATAAGTAAGATATTTTATTTTGATTTGAAATTGTTATACATATAGTTTTATTTGGCAGAAAGCCAAATAAAAGCCATTTATATTTTTGTCATTTATTAACATCAAAACAAACAGAAAAAGGTTGAAAGTGCAAACTCTAACCTGTCAACACAGAATGTCTAATGGTGTAAGAGGACGGCTCTGAAGTGCTTCCACCAGTAAAAGCTAATCAGTGCTAAACATCAATGAAAAGCTGCAAAAGGCCACTCCTTGTGGCGATAGCTATCTGAACCCTTCGGCACGAGGCTCCAATCAGTAACTATTATGCATTTGCATTTGCCGCACCTTGTCCTCAACAATACATCAAAACCAGCTCCCTTGTGCCAGGCTTAAAAAGACACTTGCAAAATCTGTAGTGATCTTTTGCTCCTCTGCCATGGCTGGATGGAGCTCTTATCTCGAAAGAGAGGTGAGATGGGACGATGACAATATGCCCTGTTTCGGCTTTTCCGCAGAGCGAGTGCTATCAGTGCCATCTCTCTGCCTGCAGCGAGATAAGATCAGCTCCTGAGTGAGCGATGTGATTAATAGTCATTAGAGCGGGATTCAAACGGGGATGAAAACAGCGGCTCCCGTGCTTTGACGGAATCTCATGGATTGTCTTGTTTACTTTGAGTCGAGGGGACGGCAGAGAGACGTCTGCAAGGCACCTTGCTGCAGCTGAGTGACTGATCGCCAGGCTGAGATTTCTCATCAAGTGATTAAAGCGCTCAGACACTATGGAAAGGGCATCCTAGTTAAAAGAGCCACAAACAACTGTCTGATGGCACGCACAAGCCACATAGAGCAGAACTATCACCAGGCAGGAGCCCGTAAGGTGTTCTGGTAAATCTCAGCTGGCATAAGTAAGCTCTTTTAGAGTACAGTTCCCTGTAAAATGGGATTTAAGTGAGTTCTTTTTTGGTAAGTTATTGGTGATGTTATTCCTATATCTGTTTAAGAGCTAGAACCTGTTGGGCATTTCAGTGTAATTTAGTTAGACTGTAATAGAACAGTCCGTCATACACAGAAAATAATGATCTAGTACAGTGGTTCCCAACCAGGTCCTCAGGGCCTACCTGACAGTCCACATTTTTTCTTTCGTGCCTATGTGTTGTGAGTTTGGTTGGAGCAAAAATGTGGACTTTCTGGGGGGGCCCTGAGGACTCGGGTTGGAAACCTCTTATCTAGTACTTTGGAGTTAATACCTAGAACCATTTTAGGTATTTCAGTGTAATTTAGATAGACTGTGCTAGAACTTACTATCATGCACTATCATCCCAAAATAATTATCTAGTACTTTACCACCATTATTTAAATAATTATCTAGTACTTTAGAGTTTATACCTCACACTTACCCAGTTAATACCTACAACTCTTTTAGGCATTTCAGTGCAATTTAGTTAGACTGCATTGGAACGTATAGTCATGTTACCAAATCTAGTACTTTGGAGTCTGTACCTCACACTTACTCAGTTCATACCTAGAACCTGTTGGTCATTTCAGTGTAATTTTGTTGGACTGTTTTGGAACTTACTATCGTGTTACCCAAAATAATTGTCTAGTACTTTACCACCATTACTCAAAATATTTATCTAGTACTTTGGAGTTTATACCTCATACTTGCCCAGTTAATACCTAGAACTCTTTTAGGCATTTCAGTGTAATTTAGTTAGACTGTATAAGAACTTACTATCATGTTACCCAAAATAATTATCTAGTACTTTACCACCATTACTCAAAATAATTATCTACTACTTTGGAGTTCATACCTCACACTTGCCCAGTTAATACCTAAAACCCTTCTAGGCATTTAAGTGTAATTTAGTTAGACTGTACTGGAACTTACCATCATATTACCCAAAATTATTATCTAGAACTCTAGAGTTTGTACCCTATGATTAATTGGTGAATACCTTTAAAGTGCTCTTGTAAACTATATCATATGTAAGCTCTTTTAGAGTACAGTTCCCTGTAAAATAAGATTTAAGTGAGTTCAGTTCTTTTTTGGTAAGTTCATATTCGATTCACTGACAGCCATCAGCAATGCCATTACTATGTCCTTTACCAGCTTAAGAGATAGAACCTATTGGGCATTTCAGTGTAATTTAGTTACACTAATTTAACTTACACTTCAGTGATTTAGTAACTTACCATCATGTTACCCAAAATAATTATCTAGTACTGTGGAGTTTGTATCTTATGTAAAAGTAAAAGAAAGTGTTACCCATTTATCCTTATATTCAACTTGCACCCTGGCTGGAACCGAACTCAACCCTGCCCTAGTTTGGATCAAGTTAAATCTGATTTTTACTTCAAGCATTCCGAGCCTCCATATTCCCATGAATTCCATGCTACATAGCTAAAACCATGGTTCCAAAGTTAGGCCTGCAGGCTTATAAAGGCCAAGACTGCCTTACAAAACAATGGAAGATGTACCTACCGATCCAAAGAGTGTGCCTTTTTTGGACATGGCCAAGTACAGGCCGGTGCTGACAGATTTGATGGCGACAACTCCCACACTGACGGATCGGATTTCCATCAGACCTGAAGAAAAAACAAGGCAACAGAGGTCTGGGTTAGAGAGGGAGTTTCCCCTTCAAAATGCTCTATCATTACCGATTAGAAACACAGGCGTCCATATGCTCTGGAGATATTTCTTTCCCCAGGACTCGAAAAAAAAAAAACAGAGCAAGCCACAGTGGTCCTTTTTGACTGGCTGCATTTCTTGGGGAATGAAGTACAACATCCAGGCATGTGTGTCCTTATGTACAGTAGGATCCAAAAGTTTGTGCACCCCTTTCTTAAAGTCTTTCTCAAAAAATGATCAAAGTTTTGTTATTTTTCTATGTGAAAATACTTCAAAAAATACATTCATTCTCTAAACGCTCCTTACACAATTGCTGTTTATTTGCGGAATTGAATACCATACACAAAAACTGTGAAATGTGAAGAAAATAAAATAAAATGTGAAATGTGGCATGTGCAAAAGTTATGGCACATTTTTGGTTCTATTTATTTATTTAGTTTTCAATGCATGAAATTCAGCAAATAAAGAGAAGCTCTAAAATCTAAAGACAAATACCATATTTAAGTGTGTTCACTGTAGATGATTTGTTCTGCACTTCTATCAATAAAACATGCCGTTTGACCAGGGTTTTCAAACCTTTGCATATAACTGTACCTCTGCACTCTTAAAGATAAGGGTGCCAAAAGGGTTCTTGGGAGTGATGCCATAGAAGAACCACTTTTTCTTCCTTAAAAAAAGTTTAATGGCATGCTATTCAAAGAAACATTTTCATAAATGTGTGAGTTTATAGTATATGTTATGTGAAGTTTCTAGGAAGAACATTTGAATTGGCATAGAACCTTTACATTGTGCGAACTTTGTTTAAAACTTTAAAAAACCTCTATCGCTCATTACTCAAAGAATACTTTTTGGAACCTTTATCTTTAAGAGTGCACTGTTAAAATGAGAGCTCAGCTCAACTCAAAATGATATAGTAGCTGATTACATGGCTTTTCTTGAGCTGATTCAACTTGAGGACACCAGAGTTCACCTAACTCAAACTTCTTAGTTAAGTCAAAAGTTCTCTTAATTTTTTTGTTCTGCATCTCAGTTTGGTAAATAAAATAAATGTGTTTTTTTATTCTCAACCTCCCCACTGGCCAGGACTCTTTCCATCACACAATCCTGCTAGACATTTTTCCTCTTGACTACAGACTTACGGATGGCTATGGCATTGCTGGGGCTCAAACTCACAACCTTCTGTTGTAATGATGTCCACTGCACCATTCAGCAACTCAGATTTTGTGTCTACAAATGTTTAATACACGGGAGAAAATATTTGTTGTTTTATCTTTAAAGCATGGCATCATCTCATGTGGTGCAACTGTCCAATAATTCATCCCAACATGAGCAGACTGTGAGTTTGAATCCCAGCAGTACCATAGCTGTCCATATCCAGAAGCCCAAGAGGAAAATACTTACATGGCATGTACAAAAATGCTTCTTTAAAGAACCATCCACTAAAAGGTCCTTTAGGGAACCAAAGGTGGTTCTTCTCTGGTATCGTGCAAAGAGCCCTTTATTTTTAGGAGAGTACTTATGTTATTTGTCATTTGCCATGTGTTGTAGATAAGTCAAATAGAAGGTGCCCACATTTGTCCCACATCATTGTCCCAATCATTTTTTTGTGGCATCACAAATGCCCCTCACTGAAGATCAGGAAAAGCCTGTATCTTTAACTGCCCAACAATCAAAGTCCAGGTCCGAGATCTTCTTGTCTGATTTGCTTTGACTCAAAACAAGAAGCCAGACCATTTTCATGGCACTGGACCAAATCTTCTGCCACCAGCCTAAACCTTTCCCTACCAAACCCTGAATGGGATGTGATTGCCGTACGGGATGCTCTCTTGAAGAATTCCTCCTGACACTGTTTCTATGGGACCCTGATGTCCCTTAGATGATGCTATCTGCTGGGATCACCCGTGCTACTTAAGAACCATACAATGTAGCTCAAAAAGCAAAAAGGCAACATCGTAGGAAACGTGGTCTCCGCTGGGGGCTGCGTAATACCATGATGGGAAACAACTCAGACAGATCAGCTGCTGGCACTGGACTGTAAACACAGTAACAGATCAAGGTGCTGAATGAGATGTTGACCAAGTGCCAGCAGGGACGCGAAGGCAGCAAGTACAGGACCCAGTCGATGAATGCTGAACACATGCTGAAGGTGGCAAACGAAAGTCCTTGGAGCCTCAGCTCTGCTTATAGGCAATGATTAGAAGATACAAATCTTCAGAAGGAGAATCTAGGCTACGAGCCATGTTTGCAACAGTTCCTTGATCTCTCTGGTTTGTTAGAGAGACCGTACACATAAGGGCACTGCACCTATTTAGTTGTTTAACAGGATCCTTATCTGTTTGCAAATAGCATTCAGTTCTGCAAGGACATCTCCGCAAGGAACATTTCACAGTGGAATTGATTACAGTGGTATCTGATTGGTTGCAATTACATCCATTCATTGTCTGCCAGCAGAATGTCCTGACTTTTTTTACTTTTATGACGGCCCACACTGTCCATCTCTGAAATTAGCAAGCGGTGTTAGCTTCAGCAATCACAACTAAGTTAACTAATACAAAATAAAGAGGATGAATTTGCATTAGTATGTGGAATTGATTTTGACTGGCTCAATAAAAGAGAATCAGTGCCTTTATTTAAGGCTTATAATTCACAAAGAGGACATACTAGTTTAACACTCTGTTTTGGTCAGCATACATAATAATTGTGTTTTAAATTGTGTTATTTAATTAATTTCTGTATAAGGCACCTTAGAATAGAGATAGTGGGTCTACAAGCCTTATCACTCTTGAGCATTCTATCTGCACTGGTAGAAATAAAGGTTCTGTGCAGGTACATTTTTTGTTCATCAAGGTAAAACAATGTAAATGTGCCCTCAAAGGTACAACAGCGGTTTTAAGGTCCAAATGTGAACCTTAAATAAGTTTTTCTGGGTGAAAAGTACGTATTTGTTACCTTTTCATAATCGAATGTTTTAAAACAGAATGATAAAATAAAAAGCCTGGAGACGAGACGGGGTGTGTGGAGTCAATACAACTTCAATGGATTTTGGTACAGTTATGTTCCCTGACTGAAGGTACTGAGATGTACCCTTGAGGGTACCACCCCAGTGACAAGAGGGGTACTGCCCCAGTGACAGTTTTGTACTTTTTTTTCTGAGGGTGTGGTGCAGTATTGCTGCCTATGGAGATTCTCCTTTAGTAACTTGGATTTGTTACGCATGCATCAGCAGAGCGCTGGATATCCTGCCAATAAATCGCCAATAATCTAGCATGGTTATTTTGAAGAACTTTTAAACAAATAGCAGCAAGAAGCACTAATAACTTTCTAAACCACAATGTTATTGCAAAACAGGGATTTATGTGAGGCTCTGTGGAGCTCTTAAATAGAGTAACAATTCAACAGTCCATTGCAATTAAATACCATTATGGGTAATGTTTTAAACTTGCACGCTGGGAGACTGGGGTTCAGAACTCTGCTTTGGTGGTAAAGCAAGTATTTTGTCTGGGGAAAAACTCTTAAAACTGTCTCTTGATAAGAGTGGTCGCTATAAACTGTAAAGTACAGCAAGGAAAGGAAAGTGAAAGGAAAAGTGAAAGGAAAAATTGGTTGGCCACCTTTAATGCATTCTTTTAGAGAAGACGTAGGCCATCTTTTTTGGAACTTGGATTGTATCTGGGTCATTCTATGAAAATGTCCATTTTCATGTCCCTAGTGTTAACAGATATATTAAACTTGAAAAACAAGTTATTTTAACCATTACAACTTCTTGAGCCATCAATTTAGCAATAATGGTTTTTAAATTAATTATATATAGAATTCCAAGCACCACAGAAGTGCTCATCCTCACAGTCATGTGTAAAGGGCCATCTTTTGAGATAAAATGATGTTTTTCTGCTATTTTAACTGCAATAATCTATACATGATCTACAGTCTATGCTATGAAACATATAATTTAAATAACATGAAGAAAACACATGCCAAATAAATATTACAAAATATATAATGAAAGTTGTGCCTCCCCGGGAGTCGTGTCACTGCTCTTACTGTGTAACAAAAAATCTCTTATTTTAATATAAAAATCACACTGATGACATCACTTGACTTCCTTTTACCTATTTTCTGAGGATCTATGAAGAAAAGCACATGGTGAGTCCACTGTGTCTTTCAGTTATCAGACATTTTCTCATTTAGCTCATGATTTCATATGAAGCTTTTAGTTGAAGTCACTGGTGTGACCGACTTTATTCTTAGGTAATTACTAAAAAATAGAATACAAATGGATTAAATTACGTATTTTAGTGGATGTTCCATGACTGACAAAATGTGGTTTGATGCTCTGTAGCAGCCATTTTGTAAAATGCATTTTTCATTAAAAATGTCACTGGTGTTTCTGTCTCTGGTGTTACCTTTCTTAAGTGTAACATCAATGATGATCAGTAACAGCAGTGAGTCTAACGGATAAGTAAAAAGTGGACGTTTCTGTAGAATGACCCATCTATTGAAGACCAATTGATCAGCGAAGTGACATCCGTTGATTTTGCTGGAAAATGATGATGAAAGGATGAATAAAATCGCTATAATAGATAGCAAGCTTGTTTTTATTCTTCTTGCAAATGTACTGCTCTCCAAAGATTGTGACAAATGCTGCTGACAGACTTCAGTGGAGTTTTTATAGGAGAAGTGCTGTTCATTTTATGGGTTAACATTATCAGTTTATTTTAGGCCACAAATCTGAGCTAAGTTTGCAAATATAACCCACTATTGCATCAGGTGGTTGCACACAAAGAAAACGTATCATCAACACAGTTGTTTTCTTTAAGGGCACTTCTTTTGACAGTTATTGTGTTCCTGTAGTGCATTTTATTTATGTGCAGCCACTTGACATTAATCATGTCAATTCAAAGCACCAATTTTTCAGTGCATGTGCATTCGGTAATGTGAGGTGGTCCCTGCCTTTTAT